CACCAGGGGGCAGCCAAGGGATCCGAGCGTATGATGTAACTCGGTGTGACGTTGCTTCCGGGAAGAAGAGGAAGTGGATGCAGGCGTCAGAGCTGGGGTCTGGGGGTCCGTGAGCCGAGAGTCTGGGGCCGCCATCAGCACCCATCAGAAGGGGCCGCTCGCCCTGGACGGGTGTCACCACCCGCATCCCGCCAGGGACACACGGAGTCCCCAGGGGCTGAGACGACCTGGCTAAGGAGTGGCCGGTGGTCTGCAGCACAGCCCAGCAGCCCGCCTCTTCCCTCCCACCCGCCCCCAGCCCCAGGGGAAACCTCAGGCTTCAGCCCCATCCTGGGGTCCTTTGAGACGCCCACCCCAGGGCCAGGGCAGAAGAGTGGGTAGGGGGAGGAATTTGGAAAGCCAGCCACAGCAGCCTAGGAGCCAGGCAGTGCGAGCCCCCAAGATTGGAGGACCAGGTCACCGAGAGGGACAACCCGGTGCTGGCAAGGCCCCAGCTTACCGCACTCGTGGGGAACGTCCCACCACCCAGCGGATTCCAGCCCCAGCTCGGCTTCCTTTCCTACCCGCGGCTCCAGACAGGAAGCTTGTTACTCACGGGCAGAATCTCAGCGGACACAGAAACAGCTGCTGTGGGCAGTGACCAGAAGGAGGTTCAGAGGTCAGGAGGAGAGAGGGAACTGGGCAGGCGCTGTCCTGGCTGGCTCGCCATCCACGGCAGCAGAACCACCAGCCAGGAAGCTCAGGCCTGGGGTCGCCCAACCCCGGGGGGTGCAGGAGAGGGAGGGCACCTTCCCACATTTCCTAGCGGGTAATATCCCTGGCCGTCCACAGCGATTTGGATTTAATGACATCATGCATGTACGCGAACGTGCTCTGTTAGCTGTAGGATAATGCCCAAGTGCTGGAGGCTGAGGGCCGTTTCCTGCACGAGAGGGTCCTGGGTTTGAGACTCAGAGAGCTCACGGGTTTCAGTGTTGCTGAGTCCACAGGGGGACGGTGGGGGGGAGGCTGTTGTGGGGGAGCCTTGTAACTGTGCAGCCTGCCGGGCAGGCAGGGCTCCAAGAGCCAGGGGAGTGGCGGAGGGTCTCTGCGGCTTGGCGGGTGCCGTGTGCATGCGCCAACATACTCCTGGATCCATCCCTCAGCACTTGGGGACACCAGAGAGGGACACGGCAGCGCTTTCCCTTCTGGTGAGAGGCAGGGAGCAGAGGGCAGCCTCGCCCTGCCCTGCTGTTTGGTGGGATGAGTCAGGGTCATTCGAGGGCTGCACCCCAGCGTCTGGGCACATACTCACCTGGAAGCGGTGACGACTGGGCAGAGGTCACTTCCTAGTGACTTTCTCCAGCCGCCCTGTCCTCCTGGGCGGAGTGGTCAGGGGCTCACGCTGGGAGCTCAGGACAAAGGTAGCAGCCACCGGGATCCTGAGCTTCCTGCTGGTGGGAGCGGGGGTGGGGGCCTATGGGCTGTTTCTGCCTGCACAGACCAGCCTTCGGGGGCTGCTTCTGCCCAGGCCTCGGTGACCATTTGTGGAATTCTTTGTGGCAGGTGCCAGGCTCAAAGCAGGGCCTTACACATGCCCGGCACACTCAGGGGTCTGCAGGTTTGGCCACGCCCACGCCTGTGCTCTCCTGGGGAGGGTTTTCTCTCGCCAAACAGTCCCCGCAGGAAGATGGTGGAATTCCACGAGCCCACATGAGAGGGGTGAACGGTGGGCGATGGGGTCAGGTGACATGCGTGGCCCCCGGGTCTGTTACCCCCCATCCCCCAGCAGCTCTCTCTGGAAGGAGAGGGGCCGGGTGGCAGTGCTCATTCAGGAGTGGTGGCAAGGATGGTGCCATCTGTCTCGCCTGCCCCCAGGCAGCCCTGTTAGAGGTCAGGAGACCTGGGGGTCCTGCCTGGCCTGTGTGACCTGGGGCCTTGCTTTGTCTCTCCCCCCCAACTCTGCTTCTGCAAACACAGGCAGGAGACGAGGGGTCTGTGGCAGGACCCTGCCCCACTCTGCCGGGGAGAGCTGTGCTGGGGCTTCCCCTCAGACAAAGACAGAGAGACAGAGACAGAGACAGAGAGAGACAAAGAGACAGAAACAAGGACAGAGAGAGACAGGGACAGAGAGACAGAGACAAGAACAGAGAGAGACAAAGACAGAGAGACGGGGACAGAGACAGACAGAGACAGAGAGACAGAGAGAAAGAGACAGGGACAGAGAGAGACAGAGAGAGAGAGACAGAGAGAGACAGAGACAGAGAGACAAGGACAGAGAGAGAGACAGAGAGAGACAGAGACAGAGAGACAAGGACAGAGAGAGACAGAGACAGAGAGACAAGGACAGAGAGAGACAAACAGTCAGACAGAGACAGACAAGGACAGAGAGAGACAGAATGACAGAGACAGAGACAGGGACAGAGAGAGATAGAGAGACAGGGACAGAGAGAGACAAACAGAGTCAGGCAGAAACAAACAAGGACAGAGAGAGACAGAGATAGGGATGGAGAGAGACCGAGACAGAGAGACAGAGATGCCCACCCTGGGGAAGCTGCCTGGAGAGGCCGTAGAGCCACGCATCCCCCTGGCTGCCCCTCCCCTCAGCTCCTTCCCTGGCCAGGCCTCTCCCGGGTCTGTGCCTCAAGGCCACAGTACCCCTCCCGACCCCCTGCTCCTCCCTGTGGGAACCCTGGGGGCTTCCAAGCCTTCCCCCAACGACCCCTTCCCCACCCCTCACTGCTGCTGGGAGGACCTGAGTTGGGGCTGGGATGCCTGGCTGGGTGGTCTCCGAGTTCACTCTTGGTCCTTGCGTGTCCAGGAACCTTCTGCTGTGGACCGCTGACCACCACCTCCCACTCAGTGCCGGGTGTGACTGCCCATTTGAGAAGCTGCAGTCTAGCCACCTCCACCCCCCTCCCCAAGGCTTCCTGGAGGGTGTCTGGGACACGCATATGGATGCAGCGGTGCTGGGGCCCGGGGAATCCCAGACTGGCCGGCTAGTTGGCACCCAAGACCCACTTCCCCTCTCTGGGCGCCTCTGCATTGTCTGTCTGTAGGCAGTGCAATGGGCATGCGCAGCCCAGGGTGTGAGACTCCGCGTCAGTCAGTCATGACCATCCCCTCTGCTTCCTCTTCTGCCAGTGACCACAGTCTACTCTATCTTTGCTCTAGGGAGAGGAAAGGAGGGGAGGGGAGGGGGGAGGGAGGGATCAGAGATGTGATTTTCCTTTATAGCCCAAGTGCGTGGCTTGAAGTTCGAGTCGTGGCAAAGGGCTCAAAATTAAAAGCAGCTGCCATGCTGTGCTGTTTCCTGCACGTCTCAGCTGTCCTCTGTGTCTTTGAGGAAGGCCCTCGTGTTTACTCCAGAAAATCCTGAAACGTGGGCACGCAGAAAGCGCCGCCCAGTAAGTGCCAGGTCTCAGTTCACTGGTCGTCTTCCAGATGATTGAACCCTCGTTTGGGTTGGCTTTTCTGTTTTTCTGTTTCCCCCTCCAAAAAAAAAAAGTCTTTGCACCCCCTCCGCCCCCCCCCCCCATCCCCCACGGTGCCTGTGAGCTCCGATTCTTGTCTGCTTTCAACTAAGGGGATAAAAGGAATCTTTGCAGAGTGAAAGGTGCCAATCCTGACACCTCAGGGTGGCCCGGGGCCCCGAAGGCTGGGGCCCCAGGATGCCCGCAGGAAGGGTAGGGTCCCGAGGCATCCGAGCTTCACAAGTTGGTGGTACGGCTGGGAGAGCACCGGCAGTACTGGCCTCTGAGTGGCCGCCTGGACCCCAGCAAGAGCCTGGAGCCAGAATGTAAACAGTCGCCGCTCACTTTGCCAAGCACGACGGTTCCGAAGTGATGGATGAGGAGCCTGGTTTACATTCTGGCCCGAGCACCGTTACCTCGCCGGGCACCCCTGTCCTGTTCCGCAGCATCTCCTGGCCACTCTCGGACGGCCACACTCTGGGCCGCACAGCGCTGCTCTGGTCTGGGATATTCCAGACTCTTCCACTGAGCATGTCTCTTCCAATACCCCCTAAACCCCCCCAACACACACACAAGTACCCGAGAGCACACGTGTGTCATGGAAGCACACACCTGACTGTACTTACACATGATGTGCCCACAGGAGTACACAGCAGTGACTCCGTGTGTGTGTGTGTGTGTGTGTGTCCACCGCCTCCAGGCACACATGTGCTCACACACACCCATGCACACACGGACCCCAGTGGGTCCGTGACCAGGAGGCGCCGGGCCCCTCCATTGACTGAGCAATCCTCCCCTTTACCGTGCCCTCCCCCCCCACACACAGTGTTTCTCTCCAGGCCTGTCGATAATAACCATCAAAGGGTTTCACAGGGCCGGAGAGATGGGACAGGGGGTAAAGCACTTGCATCGCATGTGGCAGAACCAGGTTTGCTCCCAGCACCCACCTATGGTCCCCTGAGCACTGCCAGGAGTGAGCCCTGAGCACTGCTGGGTTCAACTCAAAATCCAAAACTACAGGCATGGGGCTGGAGGGATAGCACAGCGGAGAGGGCGTTTACCTTGCACGCGGCTGACCCGGGTTTGATTCCCAGCATCCCATATGGTCCCCCGAGCACGAGCACTGCCAGGAGTAATCCCTGAGTACCTGAGCCAGGAGCAACCCCTGTGCATCGCCAGGTGTGACCCAAAAAGCAAAATAAAAAAAAACACAAAACTACGGACATGCGTGCATATATACATGCCCGCACGTACATAAATCCATGCCTGTGAACATAAATCCAGATATATATGGTGGGGGAGGGTCTCCAGTGGGGGGATTCTGTGCCTTTTCTTCACTCTCAGGCCTCAGGGCAGGGGGCGCTGCTGAGTCTCCCCGGGCTCAGAGGAGGGAGGCCCCCCTGGCCTGCGCGCCCCTGGTGGGGGAGGGCGGGCCCAGCAGCGGGGGCGTGGGGAGTGCTCTGAGTGTGCAGCGCGGGGTGGGGGCAGGGAGCCCCGGCCTGGGAGCCTGCACTCACCCTCCCGGTGGTCTTCACCCCGCCCCCCCAGGGATGTGCCTGCAGGCGTTCGCTGAGGCCTTCTTCTACCTGGCGCAGAAGAAGTTCAAGATGCTGCCGCTGCACGAGCAGGTGGCGGCCCTGGTGGACCTGTGTGAGTACCACCTGTCCCTGCTGGACGAGAAGCGCCTGGCGTGCGGCCGCGGCGGCACCGGGACCAGCCGGCGCCCCTGCAGCAACGCGCCCCAGAACACGCCCGCCAGTGCCCCGCCACCGCAAGAGGAGGCAGCCCCCCACAGCGCCCGCAGGCTCACCAGCTCCAGGCACGGGGTGCCCTGAGTCCCAGCGGCCCTTTGCGGAGGGCAGGAGAGAGGGGGCCTTGCCGTCGGGGCCCGGCTGCACGTGGACAGAGGGGCGACCGGCCACTCACCATCCGCCCAGGCTCGGCCAGGGGAGCTTGGCCTGACCGCCCTCCCGCCTACGAGGGGCCCCCGGCGTGCGTGCATGTGGGGGGACAGCCAGCCGCACGGGGGTGCCCAGGACACCGAGGCTTTGCCCCCGCAAGGTGGAGCGGGTCCGCGGGCAGCGCAGACCTGCAAGGAAGCCGAGTGCCCAGCCGGCCAGCCGGGACGCCCAGGAGAATCGCAGATCAAGCACACCAGCATCATGTGTGTGTTTCCTGAAGGCGTGGGGGGTGGGGGAACGGGCAGGAGGACCCCCATGGGTAGCGGTGCTGGCCGTGCCTACCCCCACCCCGCACACCATGGACCCCATGGGTACAGCAACCAGTTTAGCTCAGGGGTCTGTCCGCGTGCCCTGAACCGCCCAGTTTTCTGTTACTGTGTATGAGACCGAGAACTAAAATGTAACCAAGGAAGGGTTCCAAGGCGAGCCTCGGCTGGTGGTGTGTTGCTTTCTGCGTCATGGTCCTTGAAGTTGGGGTCTGGGGGCCTTGGGACAGGGAGCCCCTGCTTGGTTACCCTCCACCAGGGGTGGAGGACGGTCAGCATATGGCCAGCCCCTTCCAGCCAACACTGCCCTGGGCCCTGGAGGGGAGGAGGGGTCTTCAGAGAGGAAGGAAGCAGGACCAGGATGAGGTTCTGGGCAGGTGAGTTCCACGGCAGCATCTGGGGGGCTGGAAGTGGTGGGAGACAGTAGAGACCCCGTGCTCCACCTCCCTCGAGACCTTTCCCGACTCCCTCCATGTCTCCACACACCCTGGGACCCCCCCAAGGGGACCTGTCAGAAAACAGCCCTTGATGCGTTGGAGCTACCCCGAGGGGAGCAGGCTGCCTCCCCCGCCCCCACAGAGCCCGGTCCAGTGTGGGAGAAGGAGGAGGAGGAAGAGCCCCAACTCTGTGGAGTGCAGTCCAGCCACACGGCCTCTCACAGCTGGGCCCTGTACAACCTCGCCAAAGTGGGCCCCACTCCTGGAGTTGGCGTCGGGGCAGGGACTGTTGGCAGCAGCTTGTCTGGGTGATAGGACCAGGTCAGACGAGGCGGTCACTCCCCCAGCCCTGCCTGGCCGCCAGGGTCACACCAGCTAAAGGGAGCACCCCTTCCCCCAAACCCAGTCCTTCCACCCCTCCCCCTGTCCCTTCCCTGCTGACAAGAGGCCCAGAGGGACAGGCTGAGCCTCAGAGCTGAGGGCGGGGGAGAATCAGGACCCGCCTCAGTCCGTGGGGGCTACACCCGCAGGCAGCCCGCAGTGTGACCCCCGACAGTGGTGAGGCTGGCCGCCGAAGGGCCTCAGTGGCCTCTGTGAGGGGGGAAGAGCCGAGGAGAGTGGGACCCTCTGGAGCAAGGACCCCGAGGTGCTCTCTGCCTGCACCCGGCCCCCCGGGATGGCCTCGGCCTCTTCTCTCCCTCCCCCCGCCTGCCTCCCCTCCCCTCATCCAGGGCCCCCAGATCAGCCACCCACAGCCGCGGGGGGGCTCTGGCTGAGGCGCCCAGCCTGTCTCCCCGGGGGCCCCCGCTGCCCCCCTCATCTTCCCCTTGGGGTGCGTCTCCCTCCCTCCCAGCCCCCTGACTGCAGCCTCATCCCCACAGCCTGGCCCAGGAAGCGCACACAGCACCACCTGCTGCGCCCCAGGAGCCTCTCCTTGCTGGACACAGGCCCCCCCGCCCCTCCCCACGGCTCCCTCAGCATCTTAACCTGAGCCTTAGGGCCCTCACTGCCCAGGCCCCCCCCCCACCCCGCCCGTGCTGCCCGCCCAGAGCCATGCCACGGCCGACACTGGGCCAAGCCCAAGCTCTGTGCTCCGTGGCCATCCACACCCTGTCCCCTCTCCACGGCTGCCCACGCCCGGCTCCACCCTCCATGTCCGACCATTCCATCTGTGCCCTCAGATGTCTCTCTGTCCACTCAGAGAGGTTGGGGCACGGCCTCCCCTCCCCACTGCCCTCACTGTGCCTCCGCCAGCATGGCCCCCCTTTCTCCCTCCAGAGGGACCAGCCCAGTGTCCCCTGCCCTTCCCTCCCTCCACCATGTGGAGCTCTGGTACTAGCCCAGCCCTGTACCCGCACCCCTGCAGCCACATCCTTGCATCCGCACCCCTACACCTGCACCTGCACCTATGAATCCACACCCCTGTACCCGCACACATGCACCTGCACCCCTGCATCCGCACCCCCACCCCTGCACCCCTGCACCTGAACCCATTCACTCGCAACCCATGCACCCGCACCCCTACACCTGCACCCTCTCAGCCCAGGCACAGTGCAGGCCTGACTGCCCCCCAGCATCACCACACCCCTCTCCCTGCACCCTGCAGAGGACCCCCCCGCCGAACCATGGATGCCAACCCTGCTCACCCCCATATCCCTGCCACTGAAGCTTCCCCGGGATTCTGACAGGCACCCTAGGGCCCCCGGGCAGACCCCCATCCCTTCCCTGGACTCAAGGTCCCTGGGGCCCCTCCCTCCCCCGCTGACTCGTGAGGGGACTGAGATAGACCATGGGGCGGGGGGAGAGGCAGTGGGGAGGGTGGGGTGAGGGGGCACTCACAGACTCCGCCTTTTCTGGGGAGCTCCAGCCTTGCCTCCACCCTTCACGCTCCACAGTGTCCTCTTCAGCCCAGCCTCAGCCGGTCTTCGGACAGCACAGCCCAGGGCAGGATTCTGTCAGCCTGAGCTCACAGGCGGGGCAGGGGGCGCCTGGGCCGTGCAGTGCTCAGCGAGCATCACCCCACACCGTCCCCCAGCCCCCCTCACGGCCCTGTGCTCTTCCCACCCCAACTTGGCTGCTTCGAGAGACGCAGAGTCTTCCCAGGTCTCGGAGACGCTGGGCTGGAGTTCCGGAAGCTGAGCTCAGGGCTGTCTAACTGGCGCTCATGCTGGGCTCACGGACACAGACCCCCCCCCCCCGACACATGGGGGCGACCAGCCCTGGCGTCTCTAGAAGCATGAAAGATGCGGAGAGAGCCAGCTTCCCCCCTCGCCCCGCCCCCCCCGCTCACCGGAAGGCTTTTGCGGGGTGGAAAATGGGGGCTCCCCTCCTTCCACATTGGTCCATGGTCCATAAGTCGTGCCCAAGCGGCACCCTGTGTCTTCATTTCTTTTGTTTCGTTTCATTTGGGGCCACACCTGGCAGTGCCCAGAGTGGACGCCTGGCTTTGTAGTCAGGGATCACTCCTGGCAGGCTCGAGAGACCATATGGGGTTCTGGGGATCGAACCCACGTGCAAGGCAAGTGCCTTACCTGCCGGACTATCTCTTTAGCCCCGCTGTGTGGTTTCCTCATGAGCACCCCAAGGCCTCAGCCCTCGAACTCCCTCACCTGGCACTGTCCTCGTCGAGAGCAACAGACGTCACCATGGGCAGGAGCCTGACGCCCACCTGCAGGGGACGAGGCTCTCGCCAGCTCCCCCTCCCGCCGGACACATGCGAGGGAAGCTTCCTCTGCAGCTTGTGTTTCCAGGGACAAAAGAGTTTCGCAGAACAGGCAACAGATTCAATTACCTCCACCTCTAAAAGCCCAAGTCTGGATTTGATATGACTAGAAAAACACATGCAGCTCCATGCTTCCCCGTGCACTCGTGCTGTGCACACACGCACACACAATGCACACGTGCATGTACCCACATGCACATACCCACACATATGCACGCCTGCACACATACACACACGTACACACCCACACACATGTATACTTGCACGTATGTACACAGGTACACACGTACACACGTGCACCTCCACACGTATACCCACACGCCCACACACGTATACTTGCACACATGCACACACATGCACATACACCCACACATACACACATGTCAACCCACACATACCTACATGCACGCCCACACAGGTATGCTTGACATGCACACTTGCACATCTGTGCACACATACACCCACACATACGTACATGCACAGATGCACGCACACATGCACCCGTGAGCTCTCAGAGCAGACAGCTCCCTAACGTTCTCTCCTTTCCAGCCATCTGCTCTGACTTACCTGGAGATGGGGGAGGCCAGCATGTGGGGAGCCGACCCTCCACAGGAAGGCCCTGGCTGCAACGCCCACCCATCTCCCAGGCCGCAGAGCCCGGCGAGGACACAGCCTCCTGCGTCCAGTGGACCCCGCGTGGTGCGGTGAAGAATGTGGGCCCCTCCCATCCCTGCCTCGACCCGCCGACTCCCCTCTGCTCCCTGTTTCTGCCCTGCCCCATGGGCATCGGTCGAGACTTAGCACCCAGCACCCAGGTCTAGGGGCAGGAACTGGTCAGAGGGAACCGGGGCCGTCCTGCCCCCCGCCTGAGGCCTCCCGAGCCCCCCAGTGCTCGCATCCTGCTCTCCTCTGCGGCTGGGCTGCAGCCGGCCTCTTAAAAGCCTTTAAAAAGTCTTTATTAAATTTTCATGGCACATAAAGTCAAGGCTCTGTTACTTGGCCTCAGTTGTCTTGGTAACTTCATAAATGCAATCATAAAGAGAAGCCGAGTGGCGCGAAGCACGGACTCCGTGGATAAACAGCTGCCCAGCTGCAAGGCCGGCTTCCGACGACGACGGGATTGTTTTTTTCCGACAGCAAGTTCCCGGGGTGGGCCTCCTCCCTCATTCCCGGGGTCAGCGGGGGAGAAAAGAGCCCACATGAGGGGGGTGGAGCAATACAGTAGGCAGGGCGCTTGCCTCTCACGCACAGCAGAAGGGGGTCCAATCACGGGATTCCGTGTTTCCCCAAGCACCGCCAGGTGTGGTTCCTGAGTGCAGAGCCAGGAGTCAGCCCTGAGCATCGCCAGGTGTGGCCCAAAAGCCAAAAGAGGCAAAAAAAAAAGGGGGGGGTGTTAGTTTAGGCTCCTCGCCCTACCCCCACCACACCCCGTGTTCCAGGAAGCCGGTA